TAATCTACATGTCAGCCTTTGTGTTCTTTAGTTGTTTCCCATCTTGTTTTGGAAATTTCCTTTCCATTTTTCCCAGTTTAGGACGTATGTGGAAATGATCTTTTGTCATAGTACCATCTCCCACAGAGACTGGACAAAACAGTCTGGAGTTGGTTTAATGTTGTTTGTAACTTTATTACACTAACATCCTTATTTTTTATAAGCAATATGTCATATTCTCTTTTTCTGAATTTTGTCAAAATGACATTTAACACTGGTATATTTTACTGAAAACAAAACACAATGATATATAATATCCTATCCACTACTTGTTTTCTATGGTAGGATTTGGGTATTGAGTTGCTGAATGTGCTGCATCGAGTAATTTTAACCAGAGAATCACCTTCCATTCAATTGGCTTCACTTGAAGTGGTAAGGCAGATTATCTGTGCTGCTCAAGAACATGTGAAGGAGAAAAGACGAAGCGCAGAAGGTAAGTGTTAACCCTTAATGCCAAATGAATGACATAGCATCATTAACTTTTAAAGTATTACTTTATGTAGTCTTGATAATATATTGTGTATAGGATAAAAATTGAGCATCTATAGACATGGCTTTAAATCCTCTCATTCTCTTCTTCATGTTAGCTTGGATATTGTCAGTAGGCAAGCCATTATTCTTTGGGAAAAAGAGAACTTTAGCCAGGCACAGTGGTGCACATCTATAATCCCAGTGGCTCTGGAGACTGAACAGGAGAATTTTGAGTTCAAAGCCAGTTTCAGCAATTTAGTGAGGCCCTAAACAACTCAGTGAGACCCTGTCTTTAAATAAAACACAGAAAAGGACTGATAATGTGGCTCAGTAGTTAAATGCCCCTGAGTTCAATCCCGGGTATCAAAAGAGAGAGAGAACTTTAACAAAACTTGGGAGGAAAAAAGTCCCTTATACCGCTAAAGTGTTTGTTTTAGTTGCACCAGTGTACATGGAAAGAATTATTAATGTCTTGGGTACACAAACTGTTGTTTACAAGTCCAACATGACTTTTTTAGATTTGTCCTTTAAGATTTCATTTGACCATAGAATCTCCTTCCATTCAATTGATTTCTACATATATTAGAAAATTCCATATAACCATAGCCAGGCGTGGTGGCCCACACCTGTAATCCCACGGACTCAGGAGACTGAGGCAGGAGGATTCCAAGTTCAAAGCCAGGCTCAACAACTTAGTGAAGCCCTAAGCAACTTACGGAGACCCTGTCTCAAAATTAAAAAAAAAAAGGCTGGAAATGTGCCTCAGTAATTAAGTGCCTCTGGGTTCAGTCCCCCGTACCAAAAAAAAAAAAAAAACCCGCCACTACCAGTACCTCAGGTGACAAACTCATTGTTAGAGCTCCAGCACTTGACCATTGAGCCATATCCCCAGCCCTATTTTGTATTTTATTTAAAGATAGAGTCTCACTGAGCTGCTTACCACCTCATGAAGTTGCTGAGGCTGGTTTGGACTTGAGATTCTCCTGCCTCAGTCTCCTGAGCTGCTGGGATTACAAGTGTGCGCCAACACGCTTGGCCATATTCACATTCTTAATGGAAAGAGGTTTAATAGGCAATATTTAAGGGCTGACAAGGTTGTAAGGATTTTTTTATCCATAACTTTTTTAATACCCAAGACTAGCTATAAAATATGTTACCTAGGGGCTGGGATTGTAGCTAAGTGGTAGAATACTTGCCTAGCACATGTGAGGCACTGAATGCATTCCTCAACACCACATAAAAATAAATAAATAAATAAAGGTTAAAAAGAATGTGTTACCTATACAGAAAGGAATTAAATTGTCATCTACCAGAAATAAAGCTGGCACAAAGTATTTACTAAACTCTATTTTTCCTGTCTTTTAGTTGATGATGGGGCTGCAGAAAAGGAAACCCTACCAGAGTTTGGAGAGGGAAAAGACACCGGAGGACTTGTGCCTGGGAAGTCCTTGGTTTTTGCAACACTTGAATTGTGTGTATGCATTCTTGTTAGACAGCTCCCAGAACTAAATCCTAAATTGACAGGTAGCTCGGGAGTAAAAGCTTCAAAGCCACAAATACTGTCAGAAGATGGAAGTAGATTGGTTTCGGCTGCATTGGTTATCATCTCTGAACTTCCTGCAGTGTGCTCTCCTGAAGGTATGGAATTTAATTGCTAATCTTTTCCTCATCCTCCTCTTTTTTTGGGGGCGGGGAGGGAGTGCCAGGGATTGAAACTAAGGGTGTTTAACCACTGAGCCACATTCCCAGACCTTTTTATATTTTATTTAGAGACTGGGTCTCACTAAGTTGCTTAGAGCCTCGCTAAATTTGCTAAGGCTGACTTTGAACTCATAATCCTCCTGCCTCATCCTCCCAAGCCCCTGGGACTATAGGCATGCACTACTGCACCTGGCCCTTCTCCTCTTCCTCCTCTTGTTTGTGTGTGGAGGCGGGAGGATTGAACCAAGACCTCACACACAAGCTAGGAAAGTGCTCTACCACTGAGCTCTGTCCCCAGCCTCATATACCTTAACACAGGATTTAAGACTTTCCACATAGCTCTACTGAGCTGTTGCTTTTTTTTTTGTAACAAGAATTGAACCAGGGCCACTTAACTACTGAGCCACATCCCAGTCCTTTTTTATTTTTTATATTGAGACAGGATTTCACTAAGTTGCTTCAGGCCTTACTAAGGAGTTTCTTCCTTTCTTCCTTTGCCTGATTGCTTCTGTGGAAATCCTAAACCCAGATGTATTTGTGTTCATCCTTGTTCTGTGCTGTTATCCATGCTATTCCTTGATCCAAAATTACTCTATCCCATAGGACTGGGGATTGAGCCTATCACTCAATGAGGTGCTCTATCACTGACCTTTATCCCAGTCCTTTTATTTTTTTAGATAGTGTCTCACTACATTGCTTAGACTGGCCTTCCAAGTTGGAATCTTACTGCCTCAGTTCCCTGAATCTCTGGAATGACAGGCAAGTACCACCATACCTAGTTCCTCTACTTTATAAATTGTTTTCTTTCTTCAAAATTCAACTCCAGGGCTGAGGATGTAATTCATTGGTAAAACACTTGCCTAGCATGCTTGTGGCCCTGGATTCAATCATAACACCCTCCCCCCCAAAAAAAAAGAATAGTCCAATTTCAGCCCTAGATCATCTGTAAAAGCTTCACTATTTAGCACATACTGAGTTTTGTTTATCAGGTATATACACTTTTTTTTTCTTTATATTGATCTATAGCTTTTATCTGCCAATGACATTTTATGTCTTTGATTATTACTTATACATATATATATATACATATATTTGTGTCTTGATCAAAACTAAATGTTGTGGCCTACAAAATCTAGCACATAACAGGTACTTAGTACTTAATATATACTTCTTAATTGGTAGCCATATTTCTGCTTAAATGTGTTATGACCAATTTATATGCTATTTATTTTTAACCTCATGATTTTAAACTTCAATTTGAATTAAAACTTTTACTCCTTGTTCTTTCACACATATTTGTACTTTGCCAAGAGTAGTGGCACACGCCTGTAATCCCAGCAGCTTGGGAGGCTGAGGCAGGAGGATTGCAAGTTCAAGGGCAACCTCGGCAATTTAGCAAGACCGTGACTCAAAAAATAAAAAGGGCTGTGGATATGGCTCAGTGGTTAAGTGCCCCTGGGTTGGGTTCAATTGCTGGTACAAAAATAAAAAAATAAAAAAATTTGTACTCCCACAACAAGAGTAACAAAAAGAAAAGTGACTAGCAGAGGATTAGAGGTAAAAATACACTATACAGGCTTGTTGGTCTCCAGGAAAGTTGAGTTGACCATTTTAACTTTAGTTTCTTCATGTTCATTTTAATTAGAACTGACTTTTCAGCTTCTTAGTGGACTGAAAAATGAATAATTCATATTGAGTGGATCTCCACAATCTCCTTGAAAAAGAGTAATAAAATTCAAATGGATAGTAGTGACAGTTATACAACATTGTGAACATACTCAATGCAACTGGATTGTACACTTAAAAATGGTTAAAATGGGGTTGGGGTTATGGCTCAGTGGTAGTACGCTCGCCTAGCACACATGAAGCACTGGGTTCGATCCTCAGCACCACATAAAAATGAAATAAAGATTTTATGTCCACCTACAACTAAAAAATAAATAAATAACTATTTTAAAAATGGTTAAAATGGGGGGCTGGAGTTGTGGCTCAGTGGTAGAGCCCTTGCCTAGCGTGTGCGAGGCCCTGGTTTCAATCCTTAGCACCACATAAAAATAAATAAAATAAAGGTATTGTGTCCAACTACAACTAAAAAATAAATATTTTTTAAAAGTGGTTAAAATGGTAAATTTTCTTATGTTTTACCACAGCAAGAAGATAAAATAAATTTGTTTATCAAATACCAAATAAGATAACATTATATAATGATTTCATTGTACTGTCATGTGTAACTAATAAAAAAAAAGATGACAAATTCATACTGATACGAAGATACTAAATGATACAATTTAAATATCTCCAGTTATACCTATCAAAATTTATTCCAGGGCTGGGGATATAGCTCTGTGGTAGAGTGCTTGCATGGCATGCATGAAACTCTGGGTTCAATTCCTGGCACCACAAAAAATAATAATAATGCAGCAACATCTGAGAGTGATAGCAAATAAAAAGTGAATTTTAAAAAAAATTTATTCTAGCCTTAAAATCTTATGAGTTATTTCAATTATCTTATATAATTATAATCTTTTATGAAAAATAACTTGCATGTATGCTGGGTTTTTTGTATACTAAGCATACACTCTTCCACTAAGCCAATTCCAAGAAATAATTTAAAAGCTAGAAATCTCTAACACTATCTTATTTATTGATGACTTTTAGGAACTGTATATATTCATATTGACTAAAATCTAGATTGTTTTTAAAATTTTATCTTATAGGAAGCATCTCAATTCTCCCTACTATATTGTACCTCACAATTGGAGTCCTCAGAGAAACTGCAGTAAAGTTACCTGGGAGCCAGTTATCTTCAACGGTTGCAGCTTCACTTCAGGCTCTGAAAGGAATATTATCTTCCCCCATGGCCCGAGCAGAAAAGAGTCACACCGCTTGGACTGATCTTCTTCGCAGTGCTTTAACAACAGTTCTTGATTGTTGGAATCCAGGTATTAAGGCTCTTTGGAAGCATTTGTTCAGTTTGTTTAAAAAAGTGAGAGGAACAGTTTTTTAAGAATAAGGTATTTATTTGATCATGGTTGTCATTTTTACCTAGAGAAGACAGTATTATGTGTTTAGAAGGTATGTATACATTTTAGTATCTTTAACCTTTAATGCAAGTAAATAACAGGGACTTTATATATTGTTGTGAAGGACCTTTAGATGTAGTGCTTATTTAAAATGTGAGTAGCTGGACACAGTGGTGCATACCTGTAATCCCAGCAACTCAGGAGGCTGAGGCAGGAGGATTGCAAGTTCAAAGCCAGCCTCAGCAATTTAAAAAGGCTCTAAGAAATTTAGACCTTGTCTCAAAATAAAACATAAAAAGGGCTGGAGGCAGCTGGGGGTGTGGCTTAGTGGTAGAGCACTTGCCTAGCACTTGTGAGACACTAGGTTTGAGTCTCAGCACTGCATATAAATAAAGATCCATTGACAACTAAAAAATATTTTTTAAAAAAAGGGCTGGGGATGTAGCTCAGTGATTAAGCACCCCTGGGTTCAACCCCCTGTACTAAGATAAATAGATAAATAAAATGTAGTATGCTTCAACTTTTCAATACATGCCATAAACTGAAAAATACATAAGACATACATTATACATGTAAAATAAGATAGGGCTGGGACTGGGGCTCAGTGGTAGAGCGCTTGTCTACCAAGTGTGAGGCACTGTACTGTGTTCCATCCCCTGAACCACATAAAATAAATGTATTGTGTCCATTTATATTAAAAATAATAGATAAAATAAGATAAATCTAACCCAACATCCCAGGATTTACTAGCTAAGGGACTGGACAAGTTACCCAGTTACCCTGAGCTATAGTTTTCTCATTAATAAATCAGGATATTATGTTTTTATTTTGGTTTGGGGTTTTTTGTTTGTTTGTTAGATGGGCCATCACTAAATTGCCCAGGCTGGCATTAAACTCACTATCCTCCTGCCTCAACCTCCAGAGTAGCTAGGATTACAGATGTACTCACAGGGAACCCAATAATGATATTATGTTGCAGAAAATTGTTAGCACAGTAACAATGTATAAAAAGCATCTTGTTTATTACTTATCATTTATCAATAAATGATAATCAATATTATTTTCCCCATCCACTAAATATTTTTATCTTATTGTTATGTGAATTTTGTGTGTTTTGTTTTTGTTTTTGTTTTATCTTGTTTTTTTCAGTGTGGTGATAAAATCCAGAGCTTTGTGCAGGATAGGCAAGTGCTCTACAACTAATATACACCCGCAGCTCCAGTTATGTAATTTTTATTTTTAGTAGTATATTATAGTGATTGTAAAAAGTCTTCAGACATACTTTATCCCTACCTTCCTTGTCCTGCTTATAAATATTACAATTTACCCAATTTGAGTTTATGGAAAAAGAAAAGAACCAGAATTAAGGTAGAAAGAGATTCAGAAGATAGTGCAGTCAGAGAAGTCAAAGAAAAGAGAGTTTTAATAGAGAGGGAGTGTTCAGCAGTATGAGATGCTGTAGAGAAGACAAGCAATATGGCAGTAGGACTCTGTTGAAGAACAAAGGAGAGCTGAGGAAAGGGGAAGACACACACAGGTTCCTCTTCATAGGAAAAAGAGAAACAGCTAAAGGGAATGGATAGGGTTAAGGAATTTCTCTGAAACTCTAGCATGAGTTCATATTTAATGGGGAGAAAAAAACGTAGAGAGGGGTCTGGAATTTGAAATACCAAAAAAGAAAGCAGCGTCCCTCTTTAAGCAAGAATAAAATTCACAGAGCATTTAGGAAGATTAATCTCTGCTGAAATAGGGGAAAGAACAGGAGGTTAAGTATGGAAAGTAGGGTTTTTATGTTGAAGGTTATGGAGAGCTTACCTCTTTGATCACAGACACACACACAAATGGGGTTTTTGGTTGTATTTGAGGGAATGAGACTAAGACTGACTATTAAGAAATTTAAAGGTACCAATAATGATGTGAAACATTTGCTGTATAACAAATGCCTCAAAATTTAGTGACTTAAAACAGAAGACATTTATTATCTGACAGTTTCAATGGATCAGGGATTCAGGAGCAGCTTAGCCAGATGGTTCTAGCTCAGGGTCTCTCATGATGTTACTGTTAAGAAAGCCAGAACACCAGGCAGAGAGGCAGTTTCCCAGATGGCTATTAGCAAGAAGTCTTAGTTCCTTACCACCCAGGATTCTTCCATAGGGCTACTGCTAAGGGAACTTTACATTTATTCTAGAGAAAAGAGTGGGAGTAAGCCAAACACAGTGGCTCCCACCTGTAATCCTGGCAACTCAGGAGACTGAGGCAGAGGGATCACAAGTTCAAAACCAGCCTCCGCAACTTAGAAAGGCCCTAAGCAACTTAGTGAGACCCTGTCTCCAAATAAAATATAAAAAGGGCTGGGGATGTGGCTCAGTGATTAAATGCCCCTGCGTTTAATCCCCGGTATCAAAAAAAAAAAAAAAAAAAAGTGGGATTAAAGAAATTTTGGAAAAAATGGAAAGAGGAACACAAAAGAACTTTATCTTACCAAGAATAAAAAGACATTTTTACTAAACTGACTGAGTATGTTGCAGTTTCAAGTTGCCATAAATAATGACTGAAATTAACTGTGCTGTGTGGGTAGCAATATAGCCACATGGTGTAAATAGTTTACTGTCTGGAATCAAACTGTCTGCCTTACTAATTGTGTAGTTTTTGGGGAAATGACTGAATTTCTGTTTGTAATCCATAAAATGGAATAAAGAAGCCAGGCATGGTGGTATATGTCTGTAATCCCATCTATTCCAGGAGCTAAGGCAGGAAGAATCCAAGCCATCCTCAAAAAATAATAATAATACTAGCCAGGGGCTGGGGTTGTGACTCAGTGATAGAGTGCTTACCTCACACCTTTGAGGCACTGGGCTTGTTCCTCAGCACCACATAAAAAAAGTAAAGTTATAAAAAAATAATAATAAAATGAAAGCCAGGTGCAGTGACACATATCTAAAATCCCAGCAACTCAAGAAGCTGAGGCAGGAGGATTGCAAGTTTAAAGCCAGCCTTAGCAACTTAGTGAGGCCCTAAATAAACTGAACCCTGTCTCAAAATAAAAACTAAAAAGGGGGCTGGGGATGTGGCTCAAGCGGTAGCGCGCTCGCCTGGCATGCGTGTGGCCCTGGTTCAATCCTCAGCACCACATACAAACAAAGATGTTGTGTCCGCCGATAACTAAAAAATAAATATTAAAAAATTCTCTCTCTCTCTCTCTCTCTCTCTCTCTCTCTCTCTCTCTCTCTCTCCCTCTCTCTCCCTCTCTCACTCTCTCTTAAAAAAAAAAAACAAAACTAAAAAGGGCTAGGGATATACGGACATGACTCAGTGGTTCAGTACCTCTGGCTTCAATCCTTGGTTTCAAAAATAAATAAATAAATAACAAAAAGGGGTTGAAGTTGTGGCTCAGTGGTAGAGCGCTTGCCTAGCATGTATGAGGCACTGGGTTCAGCACTGCATATAAATTGCATATAAATAAATAAATAAACAAACAAACAAGTAAAGGTCCATTGACAACTAAAAAATATTTAAATTTAAAAAAAAAAAGGATTGGGGATGTAGCTCAGTGGTAGATTACCCCTGAGTTCAATCCCCAGAACCACCAGAGAGAGAGAGAATGAATAAGAATACCTATTTCATGATACTCTCTGATGTAAGGGTTTAGGGTACAGTTAAGTACTTACAGCAGTGCTATAATTTTAACTTTAAATGTTACCCATGTACCTGTTTTATCTTAAAACTGCTCTGATGTCTAAAAGAAATAGATTCCACTCATTCATAAAATTTTGCTTTCATTGCTAGTGTCTCTTAGAGGTATCAGCCCAGGTATTATCTCCTCAAGGTTTTCTCTGACCACACAATATCAGTTAGTCTAGGTTGCTTTCTATGATTTGTTTGTTTGCAATGCTTGGGATGAACCCAGGGCCTCACACATGCTAGGCAAGCACTCTACCACTGAACTACACTCCAGCCCCTCTATGGGTTTCTTAATATAGTTTTTATATGCATGGACCTTGTTGGCAGCTGGAAATTATTTATTGACTTCCCAGTTTATGGTATGGCTTCTTTGTAATTGTATTCTCAGTGCCTAAAAGAGGGCTAGCTGAAACATAATATTTCTTAATTATTTTATTTGTTGAATGAATGTGACCAGAGCTACTATTTGTTTATGTCATTTCTTCACAATTAACAGCCTGTTCCTAAACAATTTAATGAGTTGAATTTGTCACACCCTTTCTTTTCATATAACATTAATTTTTCACAATAGGTTAGTTAAAATTATTTAATGAGAATATGATTTTGGAAAATGAAGATAGATTACTTCTAATACAGAATCCCTTCAAGTAATTGTGGCATCCACAGCTATTTTCAGGTTTTTCTCTGCTATTGATAAATAATATGTGTAGACTGAGTGCTAAGGCATTTTCACTTGGTATATGTTATTGTCAAAATACTTAACAAAGAAAAAAACAATTGCCCAAGTGTGTTAGTGTTGCTGCACAGAAAAAATAATAAGTCAACCATGTTGGCACATACCTGTAGTCTCGCTACATGAGAGGCTGAGGCAGAAGGGTCCCTTCAGCCCAGTTCAAGGCCAACCTGAGCAACACAGTGAGATACCATCTTCAAAACAGAAGAAAAATAATTAAAGCTAATACATATTGAACATAATGTATAGCACATATTCTAACTCATTTAATCCTCAAAGACAGATTTAAATGTCTAAAATCACAAAACTAGTAAATGTACATATGTAATTTTTTTTAAATATTTGTTTTTTTGGTTGTAATTGGATATAATACCTTTATTTTATTTTTATGTGATGCTGAGGATCGAACTCAGGGCCCCCGCACGTGCTAGGCGAGTGCTCCACCGCTGAGCTACATCGCCAGTGCTAGTACATATGTATTTGTTGGTGTCTCTACAATAGCTTTGGTAATTTTTGGCTCTTAGAATTATTTATAATTCACATATTAAAACCTACAATATTTGTCAGGGTTTTTAACTTTGTCAATCAAAATTATCTATATCTGTTGTAGTCACAAAGAAAATTATTGCTACCAAGCTAAAGACAGCTTCTCACAGATACATAAAGCAGTCAGTATAATCTGTTCTAATAGATCATTTCTCTTTAGTTGATGGAACACATCAAGAACTTGATGAAGTCAGTCTACTTACTGCTATCACAGTATTTATTTTGTCTACCAGTCCAGAAGTAACTACCATCCCATGCCTTCAGAGGAGCTGCATTGAGAAATTTAAGGCTGCTCTTGAGATAAAAGATCCTATGGTAAGTGTCTTAGTAGAGAGATGTTTGTAAGGCTTTTACAAAACCTTTCTTTGTGATTTTTTGGCTTCCAAGTATCAGACAACAGTTTTTTATTTTTAGATTTGATATTAATGCCTGTTCTTGGAAAACAAAGCCAAATAATACTGGTCTTTATTCCTCTACCCTAAGGGGGAGAAAGTGAGAAAATTATAAAAAAGCAAAATTTGAAATGAGGGCATTTTAAAATTGATGTCACTCTAGAAATTTTATTGATATAAAAATTTTATTGGGACTGGGGATATAGCTCAGTTGGTAGAGTGCCTGCCTCACATGCCCAAGGCCTTGGGTTCAATTCCCAGCACCACACACACACACACACAGATAGATGGATGGATGGATGGATAGATAGATAGATAGATAGATAGATAGATAGATAGATAGAGCTATAGAATAAGAGGCTTTTATAAGATATTTTGTGGCTTATAGTAGATTTCCTTTTTAAAAAAGAGAGACTCTAGCATATGCTTTTAGGATTTTGATTGTGAAATAATAATTGTTGCAGAAACAGTAAAACAAATTGATTCCATTCCTTTATGGCCATTTCATTTGCTAGATTAATTTTCCTTTTCCTTTATGTGCTACAAAAGTGTTTGTAGGGCTGGGGATATAGCTCAGTTGATACAGTGCTTGCCTTACATGCACAAGGCCCTGGGTTCGATCCCCAGCACCAAAAAAAGAAAGAAAGAGTTGTAGTCCATACCCAAAAAGTACATTTATTCCCAAAGACATAGGAACCAAATTATCTCTCACTAAAAAATGACTTATATATCTGATGTATAGTCATTTCTTCTTGTTCTGTCCGATTTGTTGCTGCTGCCTGCAGGAGCTTTGTGTAGCCATCTCCAAGAGGTGGTTCTGACATGTGATGACACATAATTAGTACAGTTTAGTCAGGGTTCCTTAAAGCCTTCAGACCATGACATTTGTACATCCAATGTATGTGATTTGTTTTTGGTCTATTCTTATTGTACTTTATGGAGAGTAAATTTTTTAAAATGAGCAAGAAAATGGGAACTAGAGAAAAGAAGAAAAAGTAACCACTCATAGTTATCCTCCCCTACCGCTTCTCACTCCACATTGTTACAGCTCTTCTTAGCATCAGGTTTGAACACTGTTATCAAAAACTTGGTCCTTGTTCTCATGCCAATCCAATAACGAGGACATGTTTTTGAGAAAAAGGAAAAAGAAGGTTTTGTTTTTTAAATGATTTTTTAAAATACATACACACATATATATATACATATATATATTTAGGTGTTGATGGACCTTTATTTTATTCATTTATTTATATGCAGTGTTGAGAATCGAACTCAGTGCCTCACACCTGCTAGGCTAACACACTACCACTTAGTCACACTCCCAGCCCAAAAAAAAGAAATTTATTGCTTTGCTGGCAGAGACACAGGTGACTCCTGTCCCAGAGGCTGTGATTCTACCCACCATGGGGAACAGGGAGTTTTTAAAGAGGTGATTCAAAGGCTACATTCCATACATTCTCTATTGGAGTTATAATTCACTTCTTCATTTGGGAGATAGTCATTTCTGAGATCTTCTGGTGCCATTCCCTAGTCTGCATTACTTCATACCTGTGATGGGTATGTGCTCAAGCACAGATTACTCTGCCTGGGATGGGGAAGAAAGGTAATCCTGTTTCCCCTGAGATTAAGGAGGGGGAGAGATTAGGGAGGAGCACAAAGAGAGGAAGAGAAAGAAATATTTTCTTTTGAAAATAAATTATAGGGTTGGGATGGTAGCTCTGTGGCAGAGCACTTGGCCTAGCATGTGTGAGGCACTGGGTTTGATTCTCAGCACCACAAATAAATAAACAAAATAAAAATCTATCAACAACTAAAAAATGTATATATATATATATATTTTAAAAAATTGCAGTAGCAAAGCAGCAAGGGCTGTGTTCAAAGCATAAAAGTGGACCACTGTTACTATACTAGCTTTGCACAGTGGCAGTATTGTAGCCAAATGAGGTTTATTTAAGGTGTGATTATTGCTAATTAAAAACTCTCCCCAAATTTCAATATCTGTTAATACTTGGACTTCCAAAATTAAAAGTAAATTAGAAATAAATTTAAATACTTCTGCAACTTTAATTTCAAGGAGTTTTTTTTTTTTCTTTAATTGGTGCATTATAATTATACACAATAGTGGAATTCATTTTAAGTACCAGGAGTCTTCAGAGATTTGTTTGTTTGTGTTAGGGACTTTTCTAAAATTTACAATTTATATTTTTCTTGTCTCTTTCCTCATTAGGTACAAGTCAAGACCTATCAGCTCCTCCATTCCATTTTTCAGTATCCAAATCCAGCTGTTTCCTACCCATACATTTATTCTTTAGCATCCTCTATTGTGGAAAAACTACAGGAAATAGACAAGAGAAAACCTGAAGATACTACTGAGCTTCAGATTTTTCAAGAAGGAATAAAGGTCTTGGAATCATTGATTATCATTGCTGAAGAACAGCATCGTAAGTGCCAGCATTCTAATATTTCAGAATTCCTCTAAAGTCAGAATTTCAATGTTATTTAAATTATAAAACATTCAGTTAGTCACATTAAGACAGGTGTTATATTAATCCCAGGTATTAATATTTTAGTAGTGATTTGGGAGAAGAGATGAGAAAAATTGTTTTCCTCCCTGCAAGAAAAATGTGGGAAGATCAAGTCCTTTTGCCACCTTGTACAATGAACATTTTTGTTTTCTGAACTTCTTTGTTTATTTTTTAGGCTCTCAGCTGGTGGCCTGCCTTCTGCCCATTCTCATTTCCTTCCTTTTGGATGAGAATGCCCTGGGATCAGCAACTTCAATAATGAGAAATCTACATGACTTTGCTTTGCAAAATCTCATGCAGATTGGGCCTCAGTATTCATCAGTTTTTAAAAACGTAATGGCTTCTTCTCCAGCCCTGAAAGCCCGCCTTGAGGCCGCTATTAAGGGCAATCAAGAAAGTATCAAAGTCAAGTTACCATCATCTAAACATACTAAGAACCCTGGAAATAATTCAAGCATCCAATTAAAGACCAATTTTCTCTGATGTTAATTGTTTTTGAAACAGTAAGCACCTTAATCTAATACTTGATTATTTCCTTTCCTTTGGGGACAAAAGTGAAATTTTAGACACAAGTGCACTTGGAGATCTAGTGGATTGTTTTAACTTAAATAGCTGTGACTTTGCAAAGTGACAGCAAACTTAACAATTTTTGTGGTTGTTTTTGTTTGTCTGTTTTTCCATTTCATAAGTGAGTAGAATTGTTATAATTCTTGCCAGGAATTTCAAAAAAGTGCTAAAAAGGGGCTAGGGATATGGCTCACCTGGCATATATGAGGCACTGGGTTCGATCCTCAGTACCACATAAAAATAAAATAAAGATATTGTGTCCAACTAAAGCTAAAAAATAAATATTAAAAAAAAGTGCTAAAGACCTAAACAGTCCACTGCTTCAAAAATGAAATGAATTTCTTCTGTCAATCCATATACATGTGTTATGCTTAATTCTTGACAGATATAGATTCACTCTACTATAAATTATCTGTACTTATATTGTATCCCAGTTGCTAATTGAAAATTCTGCTTTATTCAGTAATAGTATTAAACTTTATTGGATTTGTCCAGGAAGATGAATGACTAAAGAGCTATTTAGAAATTTGTTTTTCAATTATCCGATATATAATGATACAAATTAATTATAGCCCCAAAGTGTGACATAAGATCTGGTATCTACAAATATCAGGATCTCACATATTTTGGGTTAATGTTTATTGCATTCACAAAATGAAAGCTTTACTCATTTTAAATAGAATAGGGCCTGTCCACTGCACTATTTCTCACATGTATTTTCTGTGACCTTTGTTCCTAACAGTTTTTTTCGTTTTCATTTTTGGCAAATGTTTATATTGATGAGTTTAATAAAGACTCTTATCTATATTATCTATATTATTATTAGATCAATTATGGGTTTATATAAATGCCAAATTTAGTACAACAAATTTAGATCATCAGTGAATACAAGTATGTTTTTTTAACATGAAACATATTTTAATACAGAAAGTAAACTAATGATAAAGTATTGGTTGAAAAATATTTTTTAACTCTGTTCATGATAATTGATTCTCCTTCCACTTCACTGTTATTATACTGTGTGAATCAAACACTATGTCAAATAAAGCATTTCCCTGTTAAAAATTACAATCTGAAGTGATAGAGGCATGTGCAGAATTGAGAAACACTTTGATTCAA